CGTGGTGTGACACCCTCATGTAGACGCCCCATGAATCAGTCCCCGCAGTTTCAAGACAAGAGCCGATTCAGTCCCCATGTAGGTAGGGGGGAAGATCGATCGGGGGTCCCAGGTTCTGCAGGTCTTCAGTCAATTCTGCAAACATTTGGGAGTTTCCGAAAATAGGGGACCCTAATGTAGTACCCTAAATAGGGGGATCTTTATTATAAGGGCCCCAAAATAAGGTACCCCTAATTTTCGGAAACTCCCATTTCTGTTTCATCTCAGTCTCAGGGGGTGCAGGTCCAGTAGCATGTTGCTAGATTGCACAAACCGTGAGGAACCCTAAACCCTTAACCCCTACAGTCAAGCGGACTCGAGTGCACCGATCTAGTTTACCGATGCGCACCAAGAACCTCGTCTGGCTTGCCCGAGTTGCGAGAGCGTAAACCCCTACACCCTAAACCCCTAAACTTTCCTTTGGTTAGTAGGGAATGGAAGAATGGTAGCAATAGTAGTCATAATTGTACCCCATTCCTCCATTCGCTACTAACCAAAGGTAAGTTTAGGGTTTGGAGTTTGCTTTTGGTGGAATTTCAGGTCATCTAAACCCCTAAACCCTAAACCCAAGGCATCCGAAGCAGTCAGGCAACCTGTCTGTAATGTCTTTCCAAGTAGCTATAACTGCAGCTCACGACGGTTGATAATAGAAACCCTGCATTGCCTTAAGGACCCTAGGCGATGGGAATAATGGTATATTCCTCATTATGGGCAATGCAGGATTTATATCATCAACCGTTTATCGAACAACACCGACAAATCGCCAATGTGTGTCAACAGATCTGCATCAAGCCAGGATCGTCGCTTAGCAGGACATTTGAGTAGTGCTCCAAACTAGGCGGGCCCTTTTATTAAGGGTGCCGCATTACTTTGGGGACCTCAACAGGGATCCTCCTTGAGTAAGGAGCTTAAGGGCTGGGCTCTCTGGGAAAACTGGTGTTGAGTCCTAGTCGCAAGCACTCAAATCGTAAACCCTAAGGCATGAGCCCCAAAGCCAGGGTCAAAGCCTGCTAGACAAGCCCTGGCTTAGGCTTCGGCCATAGCAGGGATCCTCAGATGAGGGAGGGAGTCTATTCGACAGGGGTCTAATTAAATTATAAGCTCCATCCTTAATCCCAGAGGAGCCTAAATGTCCAATCCAAATGCCTCAGCCCTCTGCTTAGGGTTTAGGGGTTTCGGCTCCTGAACGCCAAAATCCGATTACACTTTTATCCCCACTCCAAAGCCCAAGAGAACATCATATGAGTGGTTGTCAAAATTAGGGTTCCGTTCTGGGTCCTTAATGCAATAGGCACCTTTGATTTAGGGTACCCAAAAAGGGACCCTAATGTTGACAACCACCTATATGAAGCCCGATGAAGCCAGGCGACATGTCCCGAAACCCTAAACCCTAAACCCGAGCCCTAAATCCTAAACCCTAAACCCTAAATCCTAAACCTGAACCCTAAATCCTAAACCCTAAACCTGAACCGTAAATCCTAAACCCTAAACCTGATCTCTAAATCCTAAACCCTAAACCCTAAATCCTAAACTCGACAGGATCCGTCTGAGTTCGCCCAAGAGCCGGGCGTGTTTATCCACGCAGGTCGCCTCTTGCGCGAGGGCTTTATGGGAGTTTCCGAAAATTAGGGGAAGCTTTAAAGGGATCCATAAGGGTTCCTTTAAGGGTTCCTATAAGGGGTCGAAAAGGGTTTTATAAAGGGTTTGATTAGGGTTTAGGGTTTCCGAAATCAGGGGTAGTTACCCTGGTTTGGGGTCATTCTATGTCATTCTAATAAGGATCCTAATTACTATTTTCGATACTACATTAGGGCCCCCTACTTTTGGATTTCAAGTAGGGGTCTCTGTCTGGGCCGCCCAAAGAGTACACTATCCTTATGGTGAATTGGAAAATCCCACTGGAAGGGATAATTAAGAGAGCACCCGTATGGGCGAACGACCTTCTCTGGGTTCAACGGGGATTAATGGGGACCCCTACCCTATAATGGGCTATATAATGGGTATTTGATAGCTATATTAAGGGTATATACCTAGGGGTCCTTGTTAAGCGTCCCTCCTTTAACCCTTGGATGGGTTTTGGGAAACGGATCTACAGGCATGTCATATTCGGAAGGGCTTGGTTCTAGGGTTCAGGGCTCAAGGAGGTGGGAGTTTCCGAAAATTAGGGGGTACCCTTTAAAGGGATCCTTTAGGGGTTCCTGAAGGGGAACTATAAGGGATCTATAGGGTACAGGGTTTAGGGTTTGGGAGTTTCCGAACAATAGGGGTACCTTCTTTTGGGGTCCTTATAATAAGGATCCTACTTTTTAGGGTATTATATTTGGGTGCTCTATTTTCGGAAACTCCCATCTTGGTCTAGGCTGACAAGGCCCAGGATTGAGGCACTGGGGTGGACGGATCAGGGGACTCAGTCGGCAGGCTACAAGCAGGCTTCTAGGTCAGTAGCCCCAGGATTTGCAACCCTACTTATAATCGACGTGCTAAGTCCCTTGAGCCTTCAAGTGGGGTTGAAGGTACAAATCCCCAGGGCAGCAAACCTCAAACCCCTACACCCTTAAACCCCTAAGACCCCTGCACCCCTAAACCCCTACACCCCTAAAGCCCTAAACCCCTACACCCCTGCACCCCTGCACCCCTCAAACCCCTAAAACCCAGGTGCCGTGCAGTCGCGACCATGGCGCGGTTTCGGAGGCAGCTTCACGGAGGCCAGGATGCTGCTACTACTATTACTACTATTACTACTACTACTACTACTACTGCTACTACTACTACTAGTACTGGTACTAGGGTTGATGATATACGTAAATCCTGCATTACCCATAAGAAGGAATATACCATAATTCCCATAGTTTAGGGTTCTTAGGGTAATGCAGGATTAATACCATCAGCAGTAGTAGTAGTAGTAGCAGCAGTAGTAGTAGTAGTAGTTGTTGTTGTAGTAGTTGTAGTAGTAGTAGTAGTAGTAGTACTACTACTACTACTACTGCTACTACGGCGCCGGCTGCTTTTGCTACTTCTACTGCACCTTCGATCACGGCTACTACTACAGAGATGGTTGCTTATACTCCTAGGACGACGGCTAATCTCTAGTACTACCAGTATGGCTTACTGCTACTGCTACTACGTTACGTTGACATGAAGTCGACCATCCTTGTGACTACTTCCGTTTTGTCCAGTGAAGCTTGACTTGAGGCCAGATTCCCCCTAACTATTGCCGGAGCTGCAGTGATTGCAGATGTTCGTTTTCGTGCATGACACTTGTCGAGACACTGTGCCATCTACCCTGGGACCTTAAGTAAATGCTATAGGGGCCTAAATAACTACCTATACCATTTTGGGTTAAAGATGTAGTATACTGGGTCCAAAATGTCAAAACCCTATTCTATTTACTAAGGCCCCGTTGAAAGCCCCTGTCCATGAGTCTAGATTCCTGGAGGCCTCCGCGGAGACTCTCAAGCGAATGAGCCCAGGAGCTTCCTGCTTCCGTGTTCCCGGCTCCCTACGGTTGATGATGCAAATCCTGCATGACCTTAATGACACTAAACTATGGGAATTATGGTATATTCCTCAAAATTGGTAATGCAGGATTTATATCATCAACCGTAGTTTAGTTGCGGGTTCAGGTTTCCCAGAGAGCCCAATACCCCTTAATGAAGGAGCAGACCTTAAGTTAGAAGGGGGTTCATATTGTGATTTAAGCCATATTCCTTAATTAAGGGGTATTGGGCTCTCTGGGTTAGGCTATGGTATTTGCAATTGCATTCCGAAGATATTGTAGCCGATCCCCTCTATGTTTCTGAGACTCGCCGAAGCATGAAAACCCTAAACCCTCTCGAAGCATGAAAAACCCTAAACCCTAAACCCAAAACCCTAAATCCTCGCCTAGCTGTGTCCGAGTTGTGAGAGCGTACATACTAAACCCTAAGCCGTGTCGTGCCTTCGGTTGACTTCGCTTGAAAACCGTAGACTTCAGAATCTGCCAGTCGCAAACTTCGGGTTTTGTCCAGGGTTTAGGGTTTAGGGTTCCTAGACTTGAGTCCAGTGGCAAAAAGGGTTTAGGGTTCATTTTCGGTCTGTTTTCTGCCGTGGCGCAAGCTACTGGTCTCGCAGACTCCGAGTTTCGGGGGGGTTGAGTGCTTGTAGATTTCTGGGCTCAAGGGTTTTTATGTGAGATGTTGGCTAAACCCTAAACCCTAAAACCTAGGATGCACGGTTGCAGGGGTTAGGGGTGTGAAGGCTCAGGATTCCGACGCTTGGATCTCCTACTTAAAGGATCATAAGTACCGTTACCTTACTTATGCCGCTAGTTACTAAGTCCCATGATCTCCTTGAAGTACCCTAAACCCTAAACTGGCCGGCTCAAAGCGGGAATTCCACTGCCAAAGTGCGGCTGATTGCTGCTTCTAGGGAGCACCTGCTCGGACGTCTTAGTCTTTTCGAGCTTTGAGCATTAGCAAAAAGTTGCTGAGAGAACTAATGCAAAGGTCTTCTTCAACCCAGACTTCAAAAGCCATCACCCAAACGGATGAATCTGGGACCTTCAACGGGTCAACTGTAGAGCTTGCTCCAATGCTGGCCTTCCGCCCGCAGACGGCCACTGGCACCAAGGCGCCCCTGCCGGCTCTGCCAGCGGCTGTGCCAGTTCGCAGCGGCGGCTCCCTTGAAAGGCCTAGGCCTTGGCGGCCTAAGCCTAGCCTTTGGTGTGGTTTCAAAACATCGGGGCTCTCTATCATCTCAGCACTCGCCGCGGCCACCTTGCGGCGCAGCACGCTGAAAGCGAAATGGAGCCTTGGCGTTCTTCTGGTTGGCCCTTAGGACTGTATTTTTTTGGGTCTCTATATGAACTATAACAAGGAGGCTAAAAGCTTTACATTTAGAAGGGGTCCAGGAGTCAGCCAAGGAACGACAGGAATGCTGGCCACGGGGTCGAGCTTCTCCAAGACGATGCCATCGCGAAACGCATGGACCACTACACCCGACCGGAGGGCCACTGCATAGTGGTTTCTTGGCGTTTTTCTGGTTGGCTCTTAGGACTTTGATTTTTGGGTTTCTTTATGAACTATAATCAGGAGGCGAAGAGTTTAACTTTCAGAAGGGGTTCAGAAGTCAGCCAAGGTTTCGGATGGGCCCATTGCCATGGCGAACCGAGGCGGGTCTCGCGACTACTACACGGAGGTAAAGATCGAGAGTGATGTGGACACCTGGTCTTCCGGCCTGGACATGGGCATCACGCGCCTGTGCCCAGAGGAGATCGGGAAGCTGAACGAGCAAGGCTTATGCTGGGCCGACTTCCCCGACACTTGGGTGTTACGCGGTGATGGAATGCTCCGCATCAACGGTCGCTCTTACCCACCAGGAGTCTTAGGGGTACTTAGAAATAGTTTTTAATTTTTGGTTATTATAATCCCTAAGAAACATTAAAATTTTAATTTTTGAAAGGGTTCTAAGTTCAGTGTAGTTATATCATAGGATGCCAAAAAGGGTTTTAGCCTATGGGGGTTTAGTAGGGAGTAGGGTTCCCAAAATAGGGTTCATATGAAGGAATCCCAAACACCAGGAGTGTTGCCCAGCCGTGCGACAGCTCTTGCTGGGTGGAATACAGCCACGCTTGAAATGGGCGACACCTGTGGGCTCCATGTGACCGGTGGAGGTTCAGAGCTCGTGGGCTACAGGAATGGTGAAGTTATCGGCCGTCTCGTGTTAGAGGATGGAATCAAGGTGGGAACTTCCGGAAATTAAAGGTACCACATGTTGGGGTCCTTGTAATAAGGATCCTACTAAGGGTTATTTTAGGGTCCCCTCTTTTCGGAAACTCCCAGGTGCCCTTGGATGCTGAGCTCTACCTTGTCGCCGACATTATCGGCAGAGCCGGGGAGGTAGAGATCCTTGAGTGCAGCGTGCCGGGCTCTTCTGCACCGGCCGTGGCGTCCACGCCGCCCTTTGGGGCCGCAACAGTGTCACCGGATGTGCCAACTCCTGCAGGCGTCTATGCAACGATTTGGGCGATAATGCAGCGACGACCGCCGATGTACCGTGATCCGCCTGAGCTGCCATAGCTGTTTCCTCTTCGTTGGTTCTTCTTTGTTTGGATGACTGCATGATCGTCGTCACTAATTAGCTGTCATGTAACTGTAGAATCTCGAGGACTTGAATCCATGCCAGCCTTGTGCGAGTGTGTGCGTCGAAATCGAGCCCCCTACGGCCTCCAGTCGTGCTGAGCTTCCGGTTTGGCAGGATTGCCTTCGGAGGGGCAGAGGGCTAGGGTTCGGCGAAGAGGGAGAGCAAGATGTGTCTATGCAAAAAACTTTCAGCGTGTGTATACAGAGATGTCCTTGCAAAGTAGTTGAGTGAGCACATAAAGTCATCCCTCTAGGTCTTTTCTATAATTTAAGCATTCAGCTGCACACATATATACATGTGCATGTACATGAGCACTTATACGTGCATGCATGTGCAGTTGCATAAACTTGTAAGTTGTCCATATGGCATATACATTACGCACATATATTCTCATATACACATACAGATACATATACGCGTAGGTACATGTGTGTATATGCATATATACATATATGCAGAAATGTGTTTGCATCTTTTTTTGAACATCTGTACACGTTTTTAATTATATGTCCATACATACACCCACATGCATACATACATGCGCCATTACATTATATCACATTGCATTACATGGCGCTACACTACATTACATTGCGTTACATCGCAGTACGCTCCATTCCTTCCGTCCTTCGTCCATTCATTCATTCATTCATTCATTCATTCATTCATGCATGCATGCATTCATGCATGCATTCATGCATTCATTCATGCATTCATTCATGCATTCATTCATGCATTCATTCATGCATTCATTCATGCATTCATTCATGCATTCATTCATGCATTCATTCATGCATTCATTCATGCATTCATTCATGCATTCATTCATGCATTCCATTCATTCATTCATTCCTTCATTCATTCATTCCTTCATTCATTCATTCCATCATTCCATTCATTCATTCATTCATTCCATTCATTCATTCATTCATTCATTCATTCATTCATTCCATCATTCATTCATTCCATTCATTCATTCATTCATTCCATTCCATTCATTCATTCCATCATTCATTCATTCCTTCATTCATTCATTCCTTCCTTCCTTCCTTCATTCATTCATTCATTCATTCATTCATGCATTCATGCATTCATGCATTCATGCATTCATGCATTCATGCATTCATGCATTCATGCATTCATTCATTCATGCATTCATGCATTCATGCATTCATGCATTCATGCATTCATGCATTCATTCATTCATTCATTCATTCATTCATTCATTCATTCATTCATTCATTCATTCATTCATTGATGTATGTACACCTGCTTCTGCAGGTAACGGCCCCTGCCCTTAACCGAAGGTGTTGTGGAACCTTCCGATGTCAGCTAAGCGCA